TGACATTTTATAAGAGCTTATCTTCCCTGGTTAGATTATGCAAAAGGGAAATGCCGTTCTCTGAAGTTCCATTGATAAGGGTGTGGGGAGACTGAGATATCCTTTTGCTTTGTGCTCACGATGATTCTAGTTTATGAAATAACTTTATATATTATGCAGTTTAATGAAATAAAGTTTGTAAAAACTCTATACACCAAAACTAAAATGACTTTGGACACTTGGTGCTTTGACTTGGAAATATGCATTAACTTCTCAATCAAGACGCAGGGTGGCGCTGCAGGCTAAGACTGTGAATAAAGAGTCCTATAAAGCTCGCAGATTCGTTTCTGCTGCGAGACGGAATGAAAACCTCGCCGAAGATTCGCAAGCAGTACGGGGTTACCAACGAGTTTGGGTTGCAATATACTGAACAAATTTAAGATTAAAAACAATTTTGTGACGATTCCTTCAAGCAAGAAATCAGAATTGAATGTCTCAAGTCTTTTTGTGTTTACTGAAAAGGATTGGCTGTTTGCACCCGGACTGCAAAATGGAGGCTCTAGAGAGAATTCAACCAAACAGGCAAGTGGTAGCCTTTATTTTGATGGTATTCTTTTCTCAAGCTCGCTCTGAGCGCATTCGTTATTCTGTGCGGGAGGAAACAGAGAACGGCTCCTTTATAGGCCATCTGGCCAAAGACCTGGGCCTGGGAACTGGGGAATTGGCCGCCCGGTCGGCCCGGGTGGTCTCTGACGATGACAAGCAGCGTTTGCAGCTGGACTGTCAGACTGGAGATTTACTTCTGACGGAGAAACTAGACCGGGAAGAGCTATGTGGCCCCACTGAACTGTGTATACTGCACTTTCAAGTGTTCCTGGAAACACCAGTGCAATTTTTTCAAGGAGAATTATTGATCCAGGACATAAATGACCACTCTCCAATATTCTCTGATAAGGAAATGCTCTTGAACATACCAGAAAACAGTCAGCCAGGGACTCTATTTCCATTGAAATCAGCTCAGGATTTGGATGTGGGCAGCAATGGTCTTCAAAAATACACTATCAGTCCCAATTCTCATTTTCACGTTCTCACTCGAAATCACAGTGAGGGCAAGAAATACCCAGATTTGGTGCAGGACAAAGCGTTGGATAGAGAGGAGCAGCATGAATTCAGTTTCACCCTCATGGCGCTGGATGGTGGGTCTCCACCAAGGTCTGGGACAGTCATGGTCCGAATCCTGATCATGGATGTCAATGATAATGCTCCTGAGTTTGTGCACACACCATATGAGGTGCAGATCCTGGAAAACAGCCCACTGGACTTCCCAATAGTCAGAGTCTTGGCTAGGGACGCAGATGCTGGAAACTTTGGAAGTGTTTCCTACAACTTGTTCCAAGCATCAGATGAAATTAAACAAACCTTCTCAATAAATGAAGTCACAGGAGAAATGCGACTGGCGAAGAAATTGGATTTTGAGAAAATTAACTCTTATCATGTGGAAATTGAGGCTACAGATGGAGGGGGCCTTTCTGGTAAGGGCACTGTAGACATACAGGTGGTGGATGTGAACGACAATGCCCCGGAGCTGACTATATCTTCACTTACCAGCTCCATCCCTGAGAACGCTCCGGAGACTGCAGTCTGTATCTTCCGAATTCGAGACAGAGATTCCGGAGACAATGGAAAGATGATTTGCTCTATTCCAGATCACTTGCCATTCATTCTAAAACCAACTTTCAAGAACTTCTACACCTTGTTAACAGAGAGGCCGTTGGACAGAGAGGAAACAGCTGAGTACAACATCACCATCACCGTCACTGACTTGGGATCACCCAGGCTGAAAACCGAGCGCAAGATAACCGTACTGGTCTCCGACGTCAATGATAACCCACCTACTTTCACACAAACCTTCTACACCCTG